GCTTATTCCTGGTTTTCGTACTACTCTGGGTTCAGTCTGTTGTGACACTCTTGTTCCTGAGGGAAATAAAAGGGACACCTCATTACCCACCAGTTCCTTGGCAGGTACTCTGCAGTGTTAACTTCTGTAGTCCCACTCTTCATGATTACAAGCCCCCCCATCAGTTACCTGAGAGGTCACGGAAAGCTTTATGTAGCAATGATTTGACTGAGTACCTTCTGTTTGAGGTAGCAGACCAAAGGCTACTAATTATTAATATTTTTCTAAGTAACTGTATCTAATAAACCATACCTCATTAAATTATTTTGAGTGCTATATTTATTTGAGCTTCAGAAGTATTTTCTTTTTTCAAAAGAAGAACTAGGTTAGTTTAGATCAGTCAGTCAGTGGGATGTGGTGCGGTCAACCAAAATGAACCAGTATTTGTCCTCTTATAATTCCAATGAAGAAACAATTATAAGTGTTATAGTTTTGTTTTGTGAAATCAAGCTTTTATCGTTTATTCTTAAAACTTTTGTTTTTATGGACCCCTCACTGTCTCATTAGGGCCATTTTAAATACAGAAATCTTTTTTTATACTCTTTTGCAACAGGATGAAAAGTAATTCTGGGAGTGGGAGTTTATTTAATGTGACGATGTTAATCCATAGCATTTAGCAACTTAAGATGAGCTGGATAATTCTAACTGAATGCAGTAATGAATGTTTCACTGTTTTTATTTGGAAGACAACATGCTGAATCTTGATACTCGACGTGTAACTTTTCAATCTATGCATTTAATATTTTGTGCCTCATTTATGCTGCAAAACAAATGCAAAATGTGCTTTTTGTTTCATATTATTTAAATGCTTTTTTTTTATTTTATTTTATTTTTTTCAAAAAATCTTGCCTTCTTAGTAGAAATGTTGTTGCTTTTTGGCATACAAAGAGAAGTCGTCTTGTTTTCGTTTGGTGTTTTCTGTAGACATAAGAGTCTATAAAGAAAAACGGTTTAGCTAATTTGATTTGACATCTGAAATGTTCACTGTATTTCCTGATCAGTACAAATGTAGGAAGCACAGTTTTTGTAATCACGATCACACAGGTTAACGATGCAAACAAAGGTCTGCAGAATACCTTCCCTGAACACACAACACACCTAAGCTTGAAACGGATGGGCCACGGCAGCATCCAGTGGCTCTCCTGTCTGCTAAAAACAGGAAGCAGAGTTCACACAGACTCACCAAAATGGGACAATAAGAATGAGAAGAAACAAGTCTGCTCAGATGAACTTCTCTGGACCCCAGTGGCCTCAATAGTCACCAGATCTCAGTCCTATTGATCACCTTTGGGATGTGGTGGAACAGGAGACTGACCTCATGGATGAGAGCTGACAGATCTGCACTGAGTGATGCTATCATGTCAAAATGGGCCAAAACCTTTTCAATAATTTATTTAATCTATGACGAGATTAATAAGGCAGGTCAGAAGACAAGGAAAGGTCAAATCCAGTACTAGAAAAGATGAAGTTGCCAGTGAGTGTATACTTCAATGACCCCAGAGGGATGTTCAAATGTTCTCCAATAATTGTTCGATTGATGGTGTCACTGATCTGTAACCGTGGTTGTAAAGGTTATTTAAAAAATGTATTATTGTTTGCGCGTTAAGTTGATTTGTTCTGGGAAAACACAGAAAAACGATGTTTCATGGTAAATGCTGGTGACTTGGTAAATGAATCATTTAATATTTGGAGTCAGTTTTTTTTTTTTAAATATATATAAAAAAAATTAAATGTATATTAGAAGGTAAAACAAAAGAATGTCAAGGTTGTTAGGCAGGAGAGTTTTAAAACACCTTTAAAGGCTCAGTTTAAGGACATTTTGTCATGAATGTCATTCACAGCTCTACATTTAAAGCATTTTCAGTGCTTGTCAATAAGCTTCATAATAAGTGTTAAAAACTGCTTATGGTTTAAAATGGACATTTGCTTTATGCAGTTTAAACGCACAGCCTGGTTTGCTGTTTGTAGACATGAGAAAAGTCAGGTTGTGTAAAACGACGGGATCGTTTCCTGGAGATTATGCAATTAAAAGTGAAACAAGTTAAAAACACTTAATTGACACATTGATGGATCTAGTAACAAACAGGTAATAGACGGGTTTGTTATTCTACACTGATGGTGTCAAAACAGAACAGTTTCACTGAAATTTAGCATTTTTGTTTAAATCGAAAACATCTCGTATCACTGCGACTCCTATACTTGATAAATAACTAATTTGTGATTATAGATTTATTTTGTAATTTCATTATAGGAGTCTTGCATAGAACGAGTGTGAGCACAAGATGATTCATGTTCTTTGTGTTGGCTTTAACGCAGTGGCTGATGGTTGTATTTACATAAAAGAATCATATTTATATTACATGTCATTTTGATTCTTTGCCCGTCCTTATGTTTATAGCAGCCAGTCCATCCCTCAAATGTTTGTCCTATTTGTCCAGATGTGCTTTCTGATCAGCTGGCCGTCCATTTTTTTTTTAATGTATTTTATTGTTCGCTGACAATCTACAATACTTAAAAACATAACTTTTGTTACCCAACATCTTCATGTAGGAAACCAGTTTCCATAAGTTTTCTTTACAAAAGAAGATGGTGTACAAGAATGTGCAGCATTCCGATTATTTTTAAAGTATGTTGTGTTTAAAAGCAATCCGTTTGAAATAAAGATGTATTTTTGCATACGCTGGGGAGTTGTTTCAGTATCTGCTTGTATTTTCCCTGTAGTTCCACAGAGAGGCAGCACGGTGTCAGGAATCAAGACATTTAATCTGTCTTCAGATGGAAACACCTCCAGGAGTCCAGAGCAGAGACCTTCAGTGGGATGATGTGATCATCTCTAACTTTTTGTTAAGAACACTTAGAGCTTGCAGCAAATATTGGCAACTTCTCCTCCAACAAGTTAACTTTTCCATCTTTCAAGTCAAAAAAATATATTTTCCTCCTTTTTTTTTAAGAGCCTCAACTAGTCCAGTTCTGTCAGGATCAGCTGGTGAACAGGTTCTGGTGCCGGGCTGTCATGTTCACACCAGCAGCTCACTACACGCCCAGATCCCGGGTGTGGGCCTGCAGGACGTATGTGGTGGCACCATATGGCAGGATGCTGCGTGCCATGTTGGCTCTCTGGCACTGGCCACGTGTGAACGGCCAAACGCTAGTCAACCGAGCCTCCTCATGGGACACAACGGCTCAGGTTGTCATGGAGACGAGCGGCTTTGTGGCTCTGAAGTGGCGATGAAAGAGGAGAAAAGGGAGAGGAGTCACAAGTGGATGAAAGTAACAAGTCGTTTAAGGAGTCGGTGGGGTGGAGCGAGCTGGAAGGGAACTGGGTGTCAGATGGAAAGTTTGGTACAGGAAAACAGCCACGGTGGTAAAGAGGTGGTCAGAGCAGACTTGTTAAGGTGGACGCCATCATGACGAGTGTGGCCCTCTATTTAATTAGCAGAAATTAAACACTGAGGGGGAGACCACAAGAGCAAGGCAATTAAACCCTCCCCCAACTTGTTGGCTGTTATAGGAGTAACCTAGTAAAATGCTGGGCCCATCAGAGAGCTAGATACATGTAAATGAAATGGCCCCATTAATTAGTAATTAACATCAAGTTAATGACATTTCACTGTGCCGCCATCCCAGCCTATGTCCTTCCTCTGCGGTGGAGGGGCAGTCTCAGGTCCCTGATCAGAATGCTAATTAAAGCAAAGCGAAAACGCCATACAGAACTACCTAATAATATATAGGCTCAGTTTAAGACTGGTCATTGTGTGAGGGGGATTAATCACATTGTAGTAATAGATCAAGAGGCTTTAGAAGTCCAACACTCCTCAGCAGGCTGTGATAATAGGGTTTGTGTGCTAAATGAGGTGCACTTACTAGCTTAGCGTTGTCCCAACTCCACCAAGTTTGAATGTTTCAACTAGTTTAAAATGTCTTTGTGCTCATTCAACAGAAATAAACATTAATCAGAGTTAAGTGTATCAAAGCTAATTATTTCAGAGCTTTCCATTGTTTGTGTGAGGAGGAAACGAGCAATGGAAAAATTGCTTTCGGACTCGTCCCGAGCCAAAGCACAACGATGGAGGCGCTTACTGTTCACCATCATGAGGCACGCACTCATGTAAGTACCTGCGTCTGTCTGTCGGCAAAAATATCTCTAGAACCACTTTATGGATTTAATTGAAACTCATTCAGCCTTTATTTATACAGGTTAGTCTCACGGAGTCACAAGGACTCATTTTCAAGAGAGACCTGTAAACTCAAAAGGATACTGGACAAACGTCTACAACTGATTAACTTTTGAATTCACTTTGATTCAAGATGGCCGTCACAAGTAGCAAACACCCAATTTGTGCTCACTGAGCAGAGATTGGGCAAAAATGTTACCTAAAACTTTAATATACTGTACACGGTGGTTGACAACGTATTTCTTCAAGCCACTCTAGTTTTA